TATATATATATATATAGTACAAAAAGGTAAAGGTAAAGGTAAATAAATATGGGTCTGGCATTAACTGAAGGAACAGGGGCAATGTTTGGTGACACTTTTTTACTTTTCTGCAAACAAAGGTCAGCATTCTATCTATGACTGTATTACCTGAACTGTTTCCTTGTATGAAATATGTGTCTCCTTTCTTTATCACACTGCGCTTATTATCAAAACTATATAAGTAAGCAGCAACAGAAAGAAAAGAAAAAAGCCCCAATTTCATAGTATGGCAAAACATAAGGGGCTATTCTATCTACTGACTTTTGCCACCACGAAGAACATTTTGCTCTTTCGATTATGTATCTATAATATATATCGCCGAAAAAAAGAAAAAAAAACCCTTACTTAGAACACATTGGACCCACGCGGTCATCTTCCTTATTACAAGGGGTTCTTTAACCAGCCTAACTTGTCTGTGTATTTATTTATTGTACTGCACAACAAGTCTTCTTGTAACTTTGTTTGTTTATATACTTATTTATTTCTTGGAACTTTCTCTGTGGTGGAGGGTTGAAGATGGATTCAATGCCCATTATTCTCAGTTATATTTCTTATTCTTACACTCATTTTGCTTATGTCATGTCTGAGCTCTTTTGTTCTAGGTTGTATATGAAAAATGAATAAGGTTGCAGTACTCTGCTGGAGCAGTTAAACGTCACCTGCACAAAGATGGTCCCTGATTTCTCAAGGACAGACCCAGTGCTCATACACGGCAAGGAGGTTGATGTCGTCAACCATAAATATCTTGGTACCAACCCTGATAACTTATTTGAAGTTTGAACAAAACACAGAAACCATAATCTGGAAAGCACACCGACGTCAATACTTCCTCAGGAAACTGAATCCATTCAGTGTTCAAAAACCAGTCTTACAAAGCTTCTGCCGTTTCTTCATCCAGAGTATTGTGTTTGTCCGTCACTGTCAAAAACAGAAACTGTCTCCAATACATAGTGAACACCTGTTCCAAAATGACTGTAGTGCCCCTCCGAAGCCTATTTTGCTTGGAATTGTCTGTTTCCTGTCTTTTTTTGTGCCATGTACTCATGCAGTAAAAACAAATTGTCTTTTTTGGATTAACAAAGTTGTACTGAATTGAATTGGATTGACTATTGAATTGAATCCACTGTTTAAAAAAGGAGCAAACAACAGGACAAATGGGTAAATGAGTTCTATTCAACCATTAGTGAAAATGAATAAATGGGAGAGGAGTTAAGTATTGGACTACCATGCAGTACAAATGATATGATGAATCTCTTAGCAAAGGCCTTTAATATTTGAACTTGCCAAAGTAGGAAAAGCACGCAAAGTGTTAACATAGCTTTGTTCCATACAAGTGTCCCAGTAAGCCTTTTCTGGGCATGTCCTTATGTTTTATCTTAACAGAGATCAGATCAATCACCAGCTAACCAGGAAATGGCTAAGAAAGGAGTGCCCAACAGTCCTTTTGAAACCTTTTTCACAGCAGCCATTTTGGCATTAAATAGTAGGGTAAACATAGGTTTCATTTATTTAGTTATTTTCAATACAATGATCCATTCAGGTCAATCAGAGTCAGGGTGCTGCTACTGTGGCTCACTGGAAAGGCTCGGCTACACTAAATGGAATGGAGCCTTAATTAGTATCACTGGTAACACCTGTGTTTACCTTACTATTTCATGTCAAAATGGCTGCTGTGAAAAAACAAAAACAGGACCAAGACACCAAATCAGCTAAATTGAATTCAGCCATCTTACTTTTTACGTCTGTGATTTCATTATTTGACTCTCCTACTGACATGGCAAATGGTCGTCAGTGAAAAAGGCCTTATTTACGTTTTCATAGATATGTAGCTAGAAAGCTTGAGTAGATCCACAGCCTGTATACTACTGTATGAAATGAGCTTCACAGTTGCGTCGTTAGGGCTTGCGCTGCGCCTCGTGCCTGAGCACACAGGTGATGTTAATTAAGGTGCAACATTTAGCCTGCGCGAGCAGTGACGTGAAGTCGTCATCACTGCCCTCATACATGCTAACAGCCTGTTTTCACTGCCTCACATTAGGGCAACACATCCGAAGGTCCTGTCACCACAAACCAAACGACCCCGAAAGCAACCCAGTGGAGAGTTTTACTGCAGTACTCACTTTTTGCGCTTGGTCATCATGGAGTTCGGTACAGTAATTAGCCAGCAGACTCGAGGCTAACATCTTTGGTTAGTGATGTGTGGCGACTTTACGTCCTAAGTTACGTCCTTTGTCCTCCTGCTTTAGAGTTGAGAAAACTTTATCAACGAAGGCAGACTATTTGAACAATAAATACTAATCAATAGTTTCACCCGCCGCTCAGTTTCCTGTCTAAACCCCGTCAATTAAAACAGTGTTTAAAAACGTCGTCCTAAGAAAGAAACTTCCAGCTTCCTGGAGTTGGTAGTTTGGTGACGTCACTCTAAACTGATGACGCTGATTGGCTGCAGAGAAGGCGCGACGTGATGTCCTTTTAGCGAAGTACTGTCCATGGATGTACAATGGGGTGGACAAAATGACAGCAATACCTTAACAAATATCACTTCTGTGAAGCTTTTAATGTCATGAATGTGTTTATTTAACTTAACAATTTTGAGGCACGTCTTTCAATTGTATGCTACTTTACACAATACTACATTCTACATTCATATTCAATTCAATATAATGCTTTTTCCTCCACTTGATTTATTTGACAACTGCAATTTCATTATAACTTTGCATACAAAAAACTTGATAATCTTATAAAATATAATAGTGGGTTAAACTTAACTAGTTAAACTCCTCCCTGCAATTATACTTATGAATTTTTATCTAATTACATTTAGACACATTGCATTATATTTTAGAATGAGGGATTTCTACTTGTAGTAATATAAGTTTAATAAGTTGGTGCAACCTGATGAATGAGGAGACATTAAAGCAGCATGGGGAAATATAATGCCTACACCTAAAAGCCTTAGATACTGTACTATACTCTGAAGTCTGTGTGTTTGATATTGTTTTTGCATCGTTTGTAATAGATTACTGCAATTAGGATTGCTACTACATTAAAACAGCTTTTCTAAAACCAAAACTGACCATAAATTAAGACTAAAATACATATAAAAAATTTTCTGTATCTGAGTTGTATAATCAAAGTCAGTATCGGTGCCTTACAAACCACACATTCTCCTTGATATAGGAGATGATATTCCTGAAATGTGCTCATGGCACCGGGGGAAGCTTGTGACCGAAGCTTCTAAAGGAAGGAGGTCAAGCAGAAAGTAAACATTAATAAATTATCTGTGTATCTGTGCCGGCCACCCTCATGTGCACACACTTGAAAGCATGACAGGACATTGCCTGTGGGGACAGTGGTCCAGGTATCAGATGAATAACTATTTATAGCATGAGCCTTAAAGTTATGTTCAGTCACAGGGGTTAGTAGTCTAAAAGAAGAAATAGCTGGTATGTGACCAGAGGGTCAAACAAATTGAACTGTCTGCACTGTTAATGATAACAAAATGCATGAGGCAAATCATCCAAATCCAGTATGATTTAAATTAAAAGCTATGCTGTAAAATATATGTGTTTGTACAGTTTGTACATGTACATACTCATACCTGGCCAATAAAAATGATTCTGATTCTGATATAGAGGCATTAGTGTTAAATTTCATAACCTCCTTACAGTGTGTTTAACTTTAATGCTGAATAGTATTTGAAACACATTGTGCAAGAAGAAAAGGTGTCAGGGAACAGACCAGACATTGCAAATAATTCAGTTCAATTCAATTCAATTCAAAATCAGACACTTATGCTCAGGCAATCCAGCCAGGCTCTCTGGGCCTCTTTCTATTGAGGACCTCTTTGATCTTATCTTCTCAGTGCACAGTCAGCTCAAGAACATGCACTTGCTTCACAGCTTCTAACATTAGTGGCCTTAGTGAAGCCAGTGTAGTGGTGTTGAGGTAATTGAGCTGCTTACCCATCCAGTCAGTCACTGTAGTTAGTGGTCCTCTTGACAACATGGACTTTGAATGGGGCTGTTCAACAACTCTTGTGAAGTCAATCAAATGTGAGCTGTTGATTGCTAATGCAATGTGCTATGAATGCCTTCTGCACCTGGTTGTGGCACCAGTAATAACAGACTTTTCCAGGGCCGTTGTGCAGCTGCACAGGATATACATTACTTTTCCGTTTAATGAACTGCCCCATAAGCAACCAGAAAATGGACTTGATGTCAAGTTATTGAAGTGGGTAGTAAATAAATATTAATTAAAACTGGAAACTGTGTTTAAGAGTGACACACCACACTTTGTAGTCTATAGTAGCATGATAATAGCATTTCCAAACACAGTGCATCAGTGTTTCTAATGCTCAGTCAAAGTTGAACAAAGGTGAATTCTAAGCAGAGCTGGCACAGAGCAGAGTATATCAAATTGTAATAGCTCAAAAAGTATAAAAATTAGGTTGCTTAGTTGGTTTGACATATCATCAAGGGAACCTGTAGGAGGATATAAAGACATCCAGTTGTTCTCATTATATATGCTGATTTATGTCCATTCTAAAAATGCCCATGGCCTTCATAAAATTAGGCAGTTATTGACATTTGAATGGCATATGGCATAGACAATTATGATTTATGGGTGAGCAAGAAGCACAGACAATTGTAAGAAGTAAGCAAGAGAACATGAGAAAGCAGTGTGAGTGTGAGTGTGAGTGTAGGTGTGTGTGTGAGTGTGAGAGAGTGAGTGAGTGAGTGAGTTGTGTATGGTGTGTGGTGGTAGGTGTGAGTGTGAGTGTGAGAGAGAGAGAGAGAGAGAGTGAGTGAGTGTGAGTGTGTGTGTGTGAAAGAGAGAGTGAGTGAGTGAGTGAGTGAGTGAGTGTGTGTGTGTGAGAGAGTGAGTAAGTGAGTGAGTGAGTGTGTGTGTGATGTGTGTGTGAGAGAGAGAGAGAGAGAGTGAGTGAGTGTGTGTGTGAGAGTGAGTGAATGTGGTTGATGTTCACAATAAAACCATGGCAAACAGAGCTCACAGACAGAAGGGAAGACTAAAGGTACATGGATGGCTCCACATACTGTGAAAAACAAATCTCTGAAGTCAATAAGCAGTAGAAAAGATTGCATGATTGCACTGAATGCAGACTGACAGTGAAGGTAAAACAGGGAAGATGCTCTTGGGTAATGAGTGCTACTTACTGAACACAACAAGGGAAACAGGAAGTTATATTAGTCTGCCACTTTGCTCCAGACTGAAATGAACTATTTGATGGAATGCCACGAAATGTTGTACAGACATTCATAGTCTCCAGAGAAAGAACTATTACTGACTTTGGTGATGCCTTGACCTTTCTTTTAGTGACACAATGAGGTTGACATTTGTTGGCCTCTAGTTAAATATCTTAATAACTAATCTAATATATCTAATATCTGTGAATGATAAGGCCCAGACGTTTTCTGGGACAGTATAGACAAAATGCAGTGGGGTATTTATCGGTTTTCAGCATCAGATGTGTCAGACGCTCTGGCTAAATGATGCAGTAAATGCATCAGCTGGACTTTCTAGCGTTGCACCATCTGAGGAGTAGTGATTGTGCAATTAATTGTTCTTACAAAAATGTTGTTTCCCAGTGATTGAGTTAGGTGAAAGACAACCAGAAGTGAAACCCTGGGGTTTCTTTGTGAAGGGACCAGCATCCAGCTCTCACGGCTTTGGGGCCCTCATTTAGAAAAGTGTTAATTTTAGGCTTATGCATAAGGATGAAATTTGACACAGCACATTCAAATTGAAGATGAGGAATCTTCTATGTATGTCGTTGTTGTATCCAATGAAAATGATCAGCACAATTGCTAATAAAAAAATGACAACATAGATGGTTTGACTGTGCATGCCTTTCTGATCTGCCACCCCTATGTATAGTTATGTTTAGGCAACTAACACTAGTTCAGGTTTATGTTAGGGAAAGATCATGATTATAAACTAAAACTGGTAGAAGATGGGACACAGACTCATACCCATGATCCCTACCTCCACACCTATACTATTTCCTGCTTTAAACACACAGTAAATGGTAACACATTTTTCTGACAGTCTCAACCTCTGGCAATAAGTCCAGTTTCTGAAATTCAAATGATCTTCCTGAAGCTGTTTTAATTAATATAGCCTGATACTGGACTTCCATTAACAGTATATCTTCATTTTTTTAAAACCCAAAACATTTTAGAGTGTAAAAACGTATTTGTCAGTGTTCTCTGGTGGACAAACTATATCATGGTGACACAGCCAGGCCTATCTCTAGCTCTAATGATGAAAGCACTTTCTTGTTCTAAAAAAACTATTTTCGGGGCCCACAGTAACTCACCTGGTAGAACGCGGGGCCCATATAGGCTGAGTCCTTACCGCAGGGGCCTGGGTTTGATTCCACCTGCAGCCCTTTGGTGCATTTTGACAACATTTGGTTTTAATTATAGGAAAACTTGCTTTACAAAGTACTGTGACAAATATTTAGTTCTCACGGTCGCAATGTTTCTTTAACACAGAAGCAAATGTATTAACACAACTGCTGAAAAAGAAAGCTGCTTTTTAAAAAAACAAAGTATGATTCTCCTGTGAATAATGAATAGGATAGAAGTGTTCAGTTACACTAAATTGATTGAAGGAATTGAAGGAAACACCCAAATATATCAATCCATCATCCATCCATTACACTTACAAATTCCACGTGTATAGATGATCAGAAACCTATGCTGGATGCTCCCTGCTGCCATGGTGACCACAATAATCAAAAGAAATATCTGAATGAAAGGTTTGATGCTCTGAAACAATAATCATGAGTCTTTTTAGCAACGCATCTATTTTTTCCAGTGCTGTGAGAGAATTCTCTACATGCATACAGCCTATTAATGATCACATTTCTTGTTGCTGTGGTTTTGTAGAGCACGGAGCTTCTGTAAAATAAATTCAATTCTACTTGATTTGAACATTCACATCCGGGCTGGGGCCAAATGAATGTAGTCAATTTGTCCGAAACTGCAGCTTATATGACCGTTTGGAAGCAAGTGCAGTCCTGTGTTCACCAGAAAAACTCCTGGCAAATGAGTTGTTAAAAAGGGTAGGAACCCTGCAAGTGTATCTAACTACTCTTGAGAATGGTTTGTCTAAAAATGCACTGCCATGGGTTCTACACTTAAGTATGCCTACGCTTTAATTATTAAACTCTTAATAATAAAGCAATTTCTTATTTTCTTTTTCTTTTCTTCCTTCCGATGACACAGGGAATAAACAGTTTTTGATACAAATCACAGGAATAGCCGAGGCCTCCGCAGTGTGGACGCCTGTAGCGTTAAATGCGACAGCCTCATATAGCGCAGGGGCCTAATTAAACCCGCAGCACAGGTGTGATCCCTGTGCTCTTCCCCCGTCTCTCTTATTTACATCAACACATAACATAAGGCAGAAAAACCGATCAGAAGCAACAGATTGCCAAGCTGAACACATTTTTAACCCTCGAAAATGAAGGTGCCAGAGGAGGAATTAATGAGCGATATACTGAAGCGCTTAACGGGCGAGTCTGCGCTCCCTGTGTACAGCAACATAGAAAAGTTCAAACGAGGAAAGAACGGCCTGTACTTTGTCGCCGAAGACTTCAATGAAACTGTGAAAAAAAGAGAATTAGTCAACGCCAAGGAACGACTGAGAGTGAGTACTCATTGGGAATTGAATTGTCTGAATACATGTTTGATAATATAACTCGGTTAGCCAACATTTGCTGGCAGGTAGCTAGCCAGCTGTTCCCTCTCCTGTTTATTGTGACATGTAGCTGTTAGCTCGCTGTAAACCTTCCAGGAGTCTGTCTGTTACTATGTTCCGCCACCAGTCATCCTTATTCACAAGCTCATGTTGTCCAGATACACCAACCACAGTCCGCTAGTTATAGTTTATTTCCATGCAGCATTGTTAAATACACAGAATTTACCCTTCTATATTTTGTAAAAACACAGGCATGAATCTTGTTTCAAGAGCTGTGTTTTCATAAACACAGCTCAACTTGGAAAACAAATGAATGGTTATTTAAAGTTTATGATGTAAACACAGTTTTCCTCCATTCTCACATGTCAAATATGACTTAAATTGGTGTCTTGAAAATATTAGACCTAATTCTGATAATATTGTGGCAGTAGTAACTATTTTGAAAGGGTTGGTGACACATTTGGTTGGATATCTCGGTTTGAAATGCTGAGGGTACTTGTAGTCCTTAAATGCTGAAGTGGGATGTGAGATGATAACACCAGCAGTGGCTCCAAGCCAATTTGAGTTTAAGGCCACTGTTTTAAATGATTGTTGCATAACTTCAGAGATGATTCGGTTATCTAATCTGGCACATAGTTAATATGAAACTTCAGCCTGCCCTCTGTGCAGATCAGGAACTTGAACACCATGTTCTCCCGGCTGAAACGGATGGTGCCACTGATGCGACCTGACCGGAAACCCAGCAAAGTGGATACACTTAAAGCTGCGACGGAATACATTCGGTTGCTTGTAGCAGTTTTGCAGGACGCTGACAGTGTAAGTACTGCATTCATCAGGAGTCTATCAGTCTCATAAATGTCCTCTGCTGTTTTCCAAGGACAGCACTGCCACTCCCACTGCCACTGTTGATTAGTGTTATTTTCTATTTCTCAGGATGATGGCAGTGGGACTGATTTCCTAAAGAATGCAATCACTTATGGACAAACTGAAGGCTTGAGCAACGACCTATGGAGAGTGGATGATGTAAGTGTTTGTTTTTTCGATTGTGTAGACAGTGGATATAAAAAGTCTACACACCCCTGTTAAAATGCCAGGTTTTTGTGATGTA